TGTGCTGAATAAACATTTGGCCTTATTTTCGGGGAGGTCGTATTATTTATGAGGTGCAGGAGATGGCGAGCGTGGTCACCTCAAGGCTGCTGCTGTGTTGCAATATTTTTGGGGAGGGCTTATTTTAGTGCATGTGCTCAAAAGCCCGATTGGCTTATTATCTGGGGAGGTCTTATTTTGGGGAAAACAGGGTAGATATAGTAGCCTGTAGCTTCACAAAAGAGAAATATAGACTTGGTGTATTACCAAATGATAAGAATAACATTTAACTTTGTAATCATGATGGATAAAAACCAATTACTCGGACTATTTTCCCCAATGTGATTAAATACTCAAAAACAGAATGTTTCTACCTATCTTTATTTATTTCGCTTGGTTGTTATGCTAATTGTATGATGAATTAAGGCAAAAGAGTTGTAAATATCCCCACATCAAATCAAAGTGTACCATATGACAGGAATGAGGAGGATAGATAAAAGCACAACAGTGTGAACATTTAAACATTGAATAGTTCAAGTCTGTAATGCAATCATGTGAAACATTGCCATTCTTGAGAAAGATTTACATGATAAGACCATGCATTTGATTACATTCAAGCTGCTATTCGTTTGGTAAAGCATGAATAAGCCCAGAAAAATTATTTCCATGTTATTCTATTATTTTTATAGCAGCCTTGGTAGCAACGAGAGGAATAATCCTGTGATTTGCACACAAATATCTTGCAGCGAATATAAACTGTGGAATAGTTGTTGCGCAATGTGAAAGATTTAAATCTGAAGCTGATGTTTCTCCTGTTCCTTGAAGAAAAAAGTTGGTAATTACTATCCATTTTGCATCTGAAAGAGATGGAACAAAGACAGATGTCATTTTTTTTTGTTAGAACCTGCACAAACACAATTTCACTGTATTAAACTAGCAATAGGATGCTCCAGTGAATATCACGCTTATGAGAGAGCATTTGTTCATAGATTTACTAGTTTGCAAATAGTTGCATAATTGCGAATAGATTGCTAGTCAACCCATTCTGATAATAAAATACACAATGATGAAAGAGGAAGATTTTAAAATGAAAATTTTTGAAAAACCATACATAGCAGAGATGGGTTCAGCCTGGATCGGCTCCGCCCACCTGCCTGGATGCTTCTGAGCATGCGCTCAAACCGTTAGTAAAAAAATTGGCAACCCACCACTCATAGGCATCATGTTGGACAATGAACATTATTATACTGAGTGCAGAAAAAGAGTAAGAAATACTAAGCCAAAGAAACCAGAGGCGCAAGATAATGGAATGAATCAGAAATAGGACTAATTCTGATTTCTTCCAACACTATTCACAATACATCTCTGTACCATTTGGTCCTTGAAAACCATCCTTATTTCCACTACTTTCATGCAACATTCCATATTTTTGTTCTTCGAATTGCATCCTAGTTTTGAAAATCTGATCAACTCTATATAGTCCTTACTTTCTCAATCATTTCCCTCAATCTGTTCATTCTCCCTTTCTGCGTTGTTCCGCGATTCAATCTCATTCATTTACTCTGTATGAATAACAACCTTCACTTTCAGGTAACCCTTCATTTGCAACAGTTCATTTAATGACTGTTCAAAGTTACAATGGCTCTGGGAAAAAGTGACTTCAGAGTGTTTTTCACGCTTACGACCATTGTAGCATCCCCATGGTCATGTGATCAAAATTCAGACACTTGGCAACTGACTCCTATTGACGACGGTTGTAGTGTGCCAGGGTCATGTGATCCCATTTTGCGACCTTCACACAACGGGGAATCCAGATTCACTTAACTGCAGTGATTCACTTAACAGCTGTGGCCAGAAAGGTCGTAAAATGGGGCAAAGCCCACCTAACGGATGTTTTGCTTAGCAACATAATTTTTGGGTTCAATTGTGGTTGTAAGTCAAGGACTACCTGTATTTATTTCATTTGTATTCATCCGCTTTCGTTCATTCTTGATCTTATCATTTTATTTTACCTCACACTTTATTTTACCTCACACTTAAATAATCCATTAACACTGCCTTCAACTTATTTTCATGTTCCCCCTGACATATCAAATTCGCACTTATAAACCAGCCTTGCACACAGCCAGTTTAATTTGTTTCGGCAAGCTTTAATTTCCCACAATGCACCGTAGACTATCTATTCACTTTCTAAAACAGTGTAAAAAAAAAAGTAATGATTATGCGAAGAAATACTGATTTGTTAGCCTTACCCTCGATTTATCATGACATAAGTTTCAGTGTAGAAATCGTAACGATTAGGGGATGCCACACAAGAGTCCATGAATAATATCTGATTTCTAGTGAAGCTGTAGACTGTGGCTTCGATGTATGCATTCTGGTTCAGGTTCATAAAATAACCCATGTTATTTATTGGATGTTGAAAGAAAGGTGACTCATAAAATAAAAATTCCATATGAAATTTAGGCCCTTGCTTTGTGTATTCAAACTCATCAATGTTGTGGGTGACTTCCATATTTTTGCTGGGCTCCATTTTACAGATGAATCGAAACTGGGGATTTACGCCATTCCCAGTGCTGCTGACAATATTGGTGAAAGTGCTTATCTTCCCAAAATTCTGTTAAAACATCAAGCAAAACATATAAATGCAATCCTTTTTTAAAACATTTGATATTCACCCATGATTTAGTAGAAAGAATTGCTGCAATAGTCCTCTATTCTTCTGGAAGTAGCTAAATAATTAAATAACGTTTTTACGATACGGTTTTGAAATGTTTCCCTCCCTATCTATGAGACCGTCTTCTGCCACATACCTCCCAGCGTCCGATAAGATCACACAGGATGGGCCTTCTCCGGGTGCCATCGACTAGACAATGTCGTCTGGCGGCTCCTCGGGGGAGGTCCTTCTCTGTAGCTGCCCCGGTCCTATGGAACGATCTACCCCCAGAGATTGGTTTGGTTTGGTTTGGTTTGATTAGTTTTGTATGCCGCCCACTCCCGAAGGACTCTGGGCGGCTTACAATAAAAAAGGGAAAGGGGATAAATAAGACAATACAACAATTTAAGATCCGGACCCTCCCCACTCTGTCAGCCTTCCGAAAGGCTACTAAAACCTGGCTATTCCGGCAGGCCTGGGGCTGTTGACCTCATGAACGAGGTCCAGCCCCACTAAGGTTGAGTGTATCATGTGCCTTTTAATTTGTTCTCTCTCTATTTTAAATTTTTTAGTATTTTTTAGAAT